CGCGCCGCCTTTGGAGTATTGTTTTCTCCGCCCTTGTTTTTGGAGGGGGAGCGAAGACTCAGTTGGAGACTTTTTCTTTTCCTCCCCGCCGCCCCCCCCCACCCCCTTTTATTTTTGAGAAAGGGGAATTTCGTCCCAAATCAAAGGAATGAAGTCTGGCTCCGGAGGAGGGTCCCTGACCTCGCTGTGGGGGCTCCTGTTTTTCTCCGCCGCGCTCTCGCTCTGGCCAACGAGTGGAGAAAGTGAGTATGTGCCCGCCGCCCGCGGCCACTGCGGGAACTTTTCCTCCGAGGGGCTGCGCCCTGTTTGCGAAACCCGAGTGGCCCCCGTCGCAGCTGTCGGGGCCCCCGGGCGCAGGAGCGGCGGGGCGGGGCGCGGAGGGGCTCGGCTCCAGCGGCCTCGGGGCCCCGACCCAGCGCGTCCCCCCCCCCGCGGGAAGGGCCTCGGGGGCTTGCTTTTTCGCTGTCCCGCGAGCCCTCCCCCGCGGGGCCGCTTGTCCCCGTCGCGCTCACTGCCCAGCCAGGCGCTGGGACTCCTTCCCGGGAAGTTGGCACCCGGTGGGGCCCCGCCACCCGCACCTTGTCCCTGTCCGGGCGCGCGGGGCCGATCCGCACGATGCGCAGAGCGCGGTGACAGCTCCTGCGGCCGCGCGGAGCCCTCGCTGCGGGGCAGACTCGGTGCCCGTTGGCGGGGAGCCCATCCGCCTCTGGGGTACAAGTTGCCCTGGATGAGGAGGGGCCGGGCGGAGAGGCCCCGCGGCCCCAGGACACGTTTCCAGACATCCCAGCGCGGCCTCCTGTCACTCAGCGCGCTTTGCCCCTCGGGCTCTTTGGGTTCCTGGCCTTTCCCGTCACTTTCACCGGATCCGCCGCAGATGACCTGCTCCACGCTTCCCCGGGGCTGCTCAGCACGGCTCGGGGGTGCGGGGAGCGCTCCCGCCTAGACCCCCATTCCTCCATGCAGTCCCTGGAAAAGTGCGAAGTCGGGGGCCTTACGTCAGCCAGGCTTTTCAGGGGGAGCGCGTCTGGACCCCAGTTCAGAGGGTTGTGGGACCTCCTCTCCGTTTCGACCCGGCCCGGGGACGCTCTCCTGCTCCTGGCGGGACTGGGGAGGGGGCCGTCGGGCCGCCCCCGAGTGTGCGGGAGTGGGTTTGTGGTCGGAGCCGACGTGCACTCACACACACGTGCTCGCAATGCGAGGGTGTCGCTGCCGCCACACGGCTGCGCGGGGACACCTGGACGCCGCGCCCTGGCCGGAGGTGTCCTGCGCCGTGGTTTAAGGATCGCCAGGGTCTGCGGCGGCGGCGGCGGCGGGGGGTTGGGGAGGAGCGTGTTTTGTTTTGCGAGCGCGCAGCCCTGGCCTTGGCTTTGTGGTCACAGTTGTGTCGCACGCCCTCCCCCCCCCCGCCCCTGCCCCGCACTTCCTTTGTACATAGTTAATAAGCAGTGTCGCTCCACAGTCGCTATCGCTTGCAATCTGATAGCTTTTGTTTTGGTAGCGTCGGGTAGGGGTAGGGAAGTGCGGAAAAGGAGGGAGGGAGAAGTTAGGGCCCCGTGGGGGGTGGAGGGAGGGGAGGCGAAGGAGGGGGGGGTGTTCTATTCTTCTCAAAAAAATTAAAGTGTGGCTTACTGGTAACGTTCGCGATGGTAGTAGGGTAACTTGATCACGAGTAAAGTTGCAATGCAGTCACCGAACTGTGGGCTGGGGACAGTGAGGGCGTGTTGGTGAGTAATGGTTGCAGAGGGTATGCAGGTAGTGCCAATTAACTCCGAAAAATCACGACCGAGCCTTGAAGAGTGAGGGGGGAGAATCGGGAGGCAGCGGGGGCCGTCTGGCCCCGTCGCGGGGGCAATTTGGAAAGGCTGTGTGCGAGCAAACCCTTCTTAAACGCCTTGTAAGAACTGAGCCCATGATGGAATAAGAGCAGATTTTTGTAATAGAATTAACGTGTTTACTGTGTGGAGTAAGACGCAGATTGAGGCCGGACCGTCCCCAAATCTGAGCTCTTCTTCTGCTCTTTGTTTTCTAAACTTTCAGCTCATTGGATTGGGCGAAAGGCTTTCAGGCTCCTTTCTGAGGCTTCCAGATGGAATTTGGGGGGACAGAAGAGGGTTTGTAGCCTTTAAAAGCTAAATATAGTTTGGAAGACACAGCAGCGTTAATCCATTTTTAGAGTGGCATTGTTATTGAACTGTGTAGTGTCTCCAGTTTTATTGTTTAATGCTAGTTTGTTATGAAATTCACAGGAACAGTGATGGCCTCCGATTCGAGGAGTCCGGCATTTTAAAATAGGATGTCTTGTTTGGAGGGTTCTTCTTGAAAAAATAATCCTTTGTGAAAGGCGTTCCATTCTTGAGAAAACAGGAGGGGAAGGGGGTATTTTAATGTACGTTTCTAATCCCGCATAGCCTAAGCTTTCCTCAAAGATGCCATGAAAATGTTTGGTTCCTGAAAACCTGATGGGAAGCCAGAAGGCACCCTGAATCCTGACTGTGGTTTGTTGAAGTTCTAGCTGAGTACCTGCCCCTCCCTACAGCTCCGAAGTTTTTGAGGATTAAATGATATGCTTCCTATGAGCATGCATTCAGTTTTTACCCAAAAGGTGCTAGAACACTTAACTCTGATAGAAGTAACTACCAGGTCCTATCAGAGCTTGGCATTCTTTTGGCTGGCTGGTACAGTACCAAGATTGGGGTGGTGTTGGCTCCCCATATTTAGGGATTAGTGTTTCCTCTCTGAGTGTGACAGCAGTAGGGTGATTTTTAAAAACCTAGTATTCAGAAAAGTTCGAAGTTTGGAAGCAGACGAAGCCATTCAGACATGGCTGTTTCATATCAATGTGAACAGAGCATCCAAATAAGGAGGTTTGGAAGTTATGAGTGGCAGACAAATAATCTGGTGCTTTTAAAAAATTTTTTTTAAATCAACGGGCGCTTGACACATGTCGTGGCCATCTCATTAAAAAGATCCAGTCATCTTTCTGCCCCAGGCACAGCCTTATCCTTATTGTCAGAAAAATGGAGTTGTGAAAGATCGGTGTTGAAGGGAGTTGGTGTTTTATTACCAGAAAAAGAACCCAGAACAAGAAGTTTGGAAACAACCTAAACAGCAAATTATTGTGAAGGTGCTCTAAAGGGAAATGGCAAGGAAATGGTATTTTTCAAGAGGGATCGGATGTGGGACAGGATTTGAAGTTTAAAGGGTTATATGTTTGATTTGTCAGAAGCATTAGGAAATTCCAACCTTAAGAAATATGCTAAGGTTGACAGGAAGAACCTTAAAAACATTATTTCAAGTGAAAGAAGTCAGTCAAACAAAATATCCCATATTGTATGATTCCATTTATATGAAGTCAACCCAGAGAGAGAAAGTAGATTACTACTTGTAGGCCTGGGGGAAGAGGGAATGGGGACTGACTGGTAATGGGGGTGATGAAAATGTTCTAAAAGTAGATTGTGGTGATGGTTGCAAAACTCTATACTAAAAACCATTGAATTGTGCACTTTAAATTAGTGATTTACATGGTATGTGAATTATATTCCAACAAACCTGTTTTTTGTGTTTTTTTTTTTAAATATGCCAAGGTTGAAAGAATGCATTCTGTTACTTTGACCATGGAAGTTAGATTGAAATTATTAAATAAATTTGTCCAGCTGGTTGGTGTCTGTCTCTCTCTTTTATTTATGGAGTTTTTCAGATCCGTGAACTACAGCACTACAGCAAACTCATAATTGAAGCTTATGAGTGATAGTGAAATAATCTGTCTGATGGCTTTATAAAAATCACATACATTTTAAATATTTTGTGGCCATTTCATTAAAGGGATTCAGTCATAGGAGAAACAGAAAGGAAAAAAGAACCTTGGTTATACATAGTTCAAGTTAAGGATTGAGGGGTTGGATTGAAAAAAAACACATGCTAGTGAAAGTCAGAATTGTGACAGTAAAATCCTTAACTGAATCCTAAACAATTTTGGTGTTTTCAAGATTAGAGTTGAGGAGGGGAGTCTCTGGATGGCTTTTTGTATTTCCAGTTTCTTCCATATGTTTTCCAAGAAAGAAGTAATGTAGTGTTTTAAGATGGTAAAGAGTTTCCACTCTCTTTTTTGATGTTCCCTATTAACCATCCTGGTCGTAAAGTCTGGGGATGAACTAGCTGTTCATTTTAATGTAGAGGGGTTTTTTTTTTTCTTTCCTTTGTTGCTCTTTTTTATTTCTTATATAGCTTTGGAATCTGAGCAGGAAAAAGAATCTTTGTAGATACAGTAGCTATTTCAGGCATACCGTAATTTAAAAAAAAGTTACATTTCTTATGGAACAAAAGATTTTATAACAAAAGCATTTTTTTGTTTTTGAACTGTTATGCCTTCATCCAAATTTACTTTGGCCTTTTAATAGGAAAAGACTTAGAGAATAATTGTTGTTTATATTTGTGTTGGGCCTTTGTCTAAGGCTTAGTTTACTAATAACACTGTTTCCTGTCGTTATTGTTACAAGGTCAGGGCAATAATGAAAATCAACTGTATCATTTTCACTTGTTGCCTTAGAGTTTTGCCAAGGGGATCCCATAGGGATGGTAGCTTTCTTTTAAATCTGGTTTCATTTGTTTTGTAAGAATGTGCTGGGAAGAAGCAACTGGATCCTGCCAGCACTTATTGGGCACCTGCTGTATGAAACCTGGACCCTGTACTACAAAAGAAAGAGGACTTTGCTTTTTTCCTTGGGGCATTTTATATACTCCATTATGAACCTTTAGAGCTTGCTTGAAAATTCAGACTTTTTTTTAGACTCAGCACAAGATACATCGTTTTCCATTAGCAGGGCAAACATTTTAAAGGCCCTTTAACAATATTTCTGTAGACTTCAGATAATTTAGAAATCCAGTGTTGTTGATCTCCTGAAGGCCTGTGCTCTTAGACCCTTTTTTGCCTTATTGATACTTTTGCAGTTCCTATTGCAGTGTCGCTGCAGACCATGGCATGGTGGAGACATTGTGATAGGCTGCCTTGCCTTTATAACATTGGTTATGACAATTGTGATTTAAAATGTGCAGCGTTGTCATTACCTTTAGCCAGAGCTCTAGGAGTTACAGGTTGGGTACGTAAATGTTGTGTGACATGTTTTGAGTTGCAAGGACGATGGGAAGTCATTTCAAAACTTTTCTGGATTTACACTTATCTAACACTTATTTAAACTTTTCTGGATTGATCTCTTGCTTAGCGTTCTGGAAATCCTTAGGAACC